TTTAGCTTTAGATGATTTACAATTATATTCTTAAATTATATAAATATTTAAGGTTATAAAAGTTTATCAATATTTTGGGGCTATTTTATCGTGTAATATTTAACACAAATTATTTGTGCTTTTATAATAACAAGACCAACAATTGGCTTATAAATATTAAATAATTAATTTTAATAGAATTTGTCTTCTTCTTAATCTTTATCCAACTCCAAATCATATGATCGTTTAAAAATTTTACTTTTAGGTCCGACTAAATTTGTTTGTGATTATAAATTGGTGTGAATTAATATTAGTTCAAGTTTTAAGTTACACTTTTATCCAATATATAACTATATTATGAAGGACATAAAGGTCAATCAACTTTTTGAAGATATTTTTATCGTACAACATTTAGCGTGGAACATTCGTGCTTTTATAATAATAATCTCTATGCTCGTGCATTACACAAATATTTTATGCCGAATATTACAAATTCGTACCATAAATAAATGTTAGAGTTAGATGATGAGTTGCTTCAAATAAAAGTTATATATTTTTAATGCAAACCAAATCATAATAACTTTGTGATAATCATCACAAAATGGAACAAAATATTTTAAAATTACACAATGATACGAATAAATTTATACATTGGTTAAAGAATGCAACAATTCTTTTATGTAAGTTGTTTATCAAATGACAAGTATAGTATAAATATATTAGGAGTTTATCCAAATTCATAAATATTTCCAACGTGACCAATTTTGTAGTTTTATTAGAAGTCCTAGATATTAGTAGAGTAGGATTTGCTGTCGGCATACGTGGATCAGTTTTAATCCAGAAAGAATTCTATTCTTGAGGTAATATTTGGAATATTACAATTACATCTACCTTTAACTCAAAATTTTAAGGGCATAAAAGTCTATCAAAATTTCGAGGATATTTTAGTCGTTCAACATTTAACATAAATTATTCGTGCTTTTATAATAATATAGATAAATAGATAGATATAGATTAGGCTTAAAGTATGATAATCTCGACTTCAGAAAGAAGAAAGTCTTTAATTAAGAAACTAGTGCTAAGAATTAAACAGTTTACAAAAGTAAATTTAAAGCGATATAATTTGTGGTACTTACGTTTGATTTTTGGTTTAGTTGTTGAAAACCAAAACAAAAATCATTAAAAACAATTTTTCGGAGATCAGATCTGATTTCTGATTAGTTTTTTGTTAACAATTCTGCGGATCGGAGAATATTTGCATTAATTTTTCACAGAAACTACTCCTTTTTAGACTAAACTTTTGGGTTCTCAGAAAAGAGAAGGCTCTTTATAAGAAGCTAACGGGATGGACTGGCCGCCGCTTCCCTCAAGCTTTATTTTCTGATTTCACTCCAGACAGATCATGTTCAATGACTAAGTTAATATCTGTAACTGTTTGTACTTTCAGAGAATAATGTTTAACATCAACTGAATAAATATAATGCAATATTTCTTATTACAACGAACTATGGGAAAAACTGTCGTTCCGTCGAATCAATTTAAGAGGTAATAATTAGTTTTATAAGCCAAGTGGTGTCAACTTTTCTGTTTAGTACATAGTTGATAATGCTAGTGCACGTTACGTTTTGGCAAAATTCTGGTTCAGTTCTTAAGAAATAATAATCTTAGGATCCAAGTTATCCAACTTGGCCAATGAGAAGAGGAAAGTATATTAATGTGAAGTTGTAATGGCGTTCATAAATTTTGTGTGCCTTTTTTTTTTTGTTGCTTAATTGTATTGGGTACTAATATAGTAATATATCGATCGCTTGATTTTTCTTTTTCTTTAATTTAATGAATAAATGAATACTTCGTCCCTTTAATTTATGTGACACACTTTCTTTATTAGTTCATTTCAGAAAGAATGGTATATTTTTATATTTGGAGGCAATGTATTTAAACTTTTTACTTTACTCATTTTACCCTTGATGAAAAGTTTTTATAGTCATACAAATGTTAAGGTCTCACAAGGCTACTTTTATCTTTTAAGTTTGTAAGACCATAAGTTTTGTATTTTCTTAAACTCTATACCTAGTCAATTATATCGCATAAATTGAAATGAGAAGACTAGAAAATTTTCCTTCTACTTCTAGTTGCATATTGTGGTTTGCAAATAAGCTACTTTTAATATCAAAGTCTCTGACATGATTATTTCACTTAATTCCTGGATCGTCGATTCAAAATCCGGCATTAATGAAACAAATACCTCGTCTTCAGTTTCAGTAATCAACTTGCTTGTTATTAATTTGTTGATGTTGTAATAATTAGGGGTTTTTGAATAATTTAAAACAAATTGCATGTCTGTATTATATATTTATTTGTGTCATTGCGATTGTGTTGGATTAAGGAATCGTTCCTGGGTTAAGGTTGTAAAAGAAGAAAGTGTTTCCACGTACGAGGCATGCATAAAGCAATTAGTCCAGAGAGTTTTTGTTTAAACATGGAGTAATTATAATTAAATACGAGATTAGGGAGATCCAATCTTAATGGAGAATTATCAATGTGTGTCAGGCACAAAATCACCATCAAGTTGGGATTAAGAAATTGCAACTTCCTAATTATATAATTCTTATCGTGGTTAAGGTTTACCTTAATGACTAATTAATCATTGATATTAGATACCAGACTACTATGTCGTATACATAATTATATATTACTACCAAGTTTCTGGACCAATTGTCCCTCCTTTTGTTGATCTTTGAATTTGTGTTCATTCATCCATGTTCTCTGTATAACTGAAGTTTCTAGAAAAACGAGATGAGTATGGCTGATTCCTAAAATTCATTAAATCATGACTATTTTATAAATTCTGTGCTTGGTTATATCATGAAACCTCCCTCCCCCCCCCCCCCCCCCCCCCCCCCCCCCAAACACTAATAGCAACATAATACTTAATTACGTACATGACAAGGCATGAAGAAGAATATTTTCCAGGTTTTTTTCTTCAAAAAATATCATTTTCCTGGCAACCGACCTCTTGAAAATAACTTTCCTTGCTCATGTTTTTCTCCAATAAACAATCTAAAATGATTTCTAAATTTTAGAAAGTGTTTGATAGTAACATAAAGTTTACAACAAACAACAACAACATATTCAATGTAATCCCACAAGTAAAATAAAGTTTCTTCTGAAAATATTATTCTTCGTACTAAACACCATTAATCTATTACTAACTGTACGTAGTCATGAAGAAATCAGCTAACCATGGAGACTTGCCATGGATGAGAAGCTGTAGATCTAGACTATAGAGAGAAGAAAAGTGGTTCGATATTTCAGAGGAAGAAGAAGTTGTATTGATTCATTCATTCTCAGTATCTGTACATGCAAATATATAAAATCAACTCTAATCCTTAACTAGAGTTAAAACTAAAACTAACTTGAGTTACACTAACTCTAGTCTAAGGTAAGTTAGTTACAACTAATCTAACTAACTAATGAAGCTTAACCACCACAATCATTACTAATCTCAACACTCCCCCTCAAGCTGAGGGGTATGAACAAATTTTCAACCCCCAGCTTGCTAAGCAAAGAATAGCGTCGGACCTTCCCTAGATCTTTAGTAAGTATGTCTGCCAATTACAATTTGGTGTTAATGTGATGAGTCTGGATAAGGCCTTGCTGCAGCTTTTCTCACACAAAATGACAATCAATGTCAATGTGTTTTGTCCGCTCATGAAAAATGAGATTTGCAACTATCTGGATAGCTGTTTTACTGTCACAATGCAAGGGAATAGGCAGTTGAATCTGGATTCCCAACTCTTTGAATAGTCCTACTAACCATGACACTTCTGCCACTGTGGAGGCCATACTTCTGAACTCTACTTCTGCTGAACTTCTGGAGACTGTGTTTTGTTTCTTAGACTTCCACGATATCAAAGAATTTCCAAATTTGACCAGATACCCTGTAACTGATTTCCTGGACTGGGGACAAGAAGCCCAGTCTGAGTCACAAAATGCAACCAAGCTTTTAGACTGTTGTGAAGGCATCAATAGTCCTAATCCTGGTGCATTTTTGACATATCTGATCACCCTCAATGCTGCATCCATATGTGATCTCTTAGGTTTATGCATAAACTGACTGAGAACCAGAACAACATAGGCTATATCAGGCCTTGTCATAGTCAAGTATAGCAACTTGCCCACTAACCTTTGATAAGGTTCAGGATCAGGTAACACATTGTCCTTCACTCCTGCATTTGTAACATCCTCAGAACCCAAGACAACTTCATCAAATTTTGCTGTAGTCAGCCTTTGATTGCACTCTAATGGAATGGATGCTGGCTTAGCTCCCCCTAGCCCAGAATCAGCTATTAGGTCAAGTGCATATTTCCTCTGATTCATCAGAATGCCAGCCTTGCTGCAAGCAAACTCTATGCCCAAAAAGAATCTGAGCTCCCCCAAATCTTTCATTTTGAACTTCTTTTGCAGATTTTCCCTAGCAGACTGAATTAGGCTAGGATCATTTCCTGTGACTAGGAGGTCATCTACATAAACTAGAATGACAACCAAAGCTGACCCTCTCTGTTGTGTGAACAAAGAGTAGTCAAAGTGACTTTGAACAAATCCCAAATCTCTAAGGGCTTCTATCAACTTCAAGTTTCATTGCCTTGAAGCCTGCTTCAATCCATAGAGTGATTTCTTTAGCTTGCACACCTTGTTCCTGGACTCCCCCTTGATGTTGTACCCTTGTAGTAGCTGCATGTGCACGTCTTCAAATAAGTCACCTTGCAAGAATGCATTGTACACATCCATTTGATAAATGTGCCAATGTTTAGAGGCTGCTACTGCTATAACTGATCTAACAGTGACCATCTTGGCCATAGGTGAAAATGTTTCCTTGTAATCTAGGCTTCCTTTTGGCTGAAACCTTTGGCTACAAGTTTAGCTTTGAGTCTCTCCACCTTACCATTAGCATGATACTTCACTTTATATACCCATTTGCATCCTATAGGAACTTTGTGTGCAGGCAGATCAACAACATCTCATGTATTGTTTTCTTCTAAAGCTGTGACTTTTTGTTGCATAGCAGCTACCCACCTTGCATATTTTGAAGCTTCATGATAATGCTTGGGCTCAACTATAGAGGATTGAGCTGACAAACATCTAACATAAGAAGGAGATAACCTATCATAGGTCAGGTAGTCTGACATATGATATGCATAAGATGTGGACACAAAGTCCTGCAGCCATTTTGGTGGCCCTGTAGTTCTGGGATGCTTTCTGACTGCAATTGGTAGTGCATCATTCATATCTTGCAAATGTGAAGACTCAGTTTGCAATTGTGGTACAACATCAAGAGCAATACTATCAACATCAGGTACAGGAGTAGTGCCAGGTGGAGTATCTGGCTTTTTAGGGATTGGTTCATTCCTTTGTTCAGCATCATTATCATGGTCTGCATTATGATCAGGTGCTAAATCTTTACACAATATGTCTGAAGTACTTGATATATCAGTTGGCTCAAGTAGTGGAAAGAATGGAACATGTGATAGCTTCATTTGTCTAAAAGGAAATATATGTTCCTTAAAGACAACATCCCTGCTAACAATAAACTGTTTAGATTGCAAATCATACAATTTGTAGCCATTTTTAGTTGGAGTGTACCCCATAAACACTGCAGGTAAAGCTCTGGCTAAGAACTTATCTTGCCTCTTAACATTCACAACATAACATAGACAGCCAAACACTCTCATATGGTCTAAAGAAGGTTCAGTATTAAACAGCTTTTCATATGGAGATTTACCCCTTAGAACTGTAGAGGGTAACCTTTTTATGATATGTACTGTTGTAAGAACACACTCACCCCAAAATCTTAGAGGGATGGCAGCTTGGAATCTTAAGGCTCTTGCCACTTCTAGAATATATCTATGTTTCCTCTCCACAACACCATTCTATTGTGGAGTGTACACACATGTCGTTTGATGAATAATTCTCTGTGACTCTAAGAAGTGTTTCACATTTGAATTAACAAATTCTGATCCATTGTCTGTTCTTATAGCTCTAACAAAATAATTAAATTGTGTGTGAATCATGGAAATCAGTCCTTTCATCAACTAATATGTTTCATCTTTGGCATTCATCAGAAATAACCAAGTGGTTTTAGAGAAGTCATCAACAACAGTAAGAAAAAATCTTTTATTGTCATATGTAGGCACCCTGTAAGGCCCCCATACATCTGCATGCAAAAGGTCAAATGAACTCTTTGCTCTACTAGTACTGACAGGAAATGGCAACTTAGTTTGCCTGACTAATGGACAAACAGAACAATCAAAACATATAGTCTCTGATCTTTCTTTTATGAAATGTTGTTTGAGCTTGACAATTTTCTTAATAGCTTCCATAGGCATATGTCCAAGTCTTTGATGCCAGACCTCTAGGTTTATTGAGCTCTGCTTATTCTGTGTTGAAATCTGCATAGTTTTGGTATTTACATTTGGTGTAGATGATTGTTTCTCATGAAGACAACTCCTAATAATGTATAGCCCATTAACTTCACTACCAATCCCCAACACCTTGCCAGTGTAGAGGTCGTGAAACACACATAGATCAGGAAAAAATGCAACCAAGCATTGTAACTCCTTAGTAAGTTTTGAAACCGACAGTAGGTTAAATTTAAAATGTGGAACATGAAGCACATCACTAATCTTGCAATCCTTGAGAATATTAGCTGATCCTCTATGAGTAATTTTAGCTAGATTTCCATTTGGTAGGTGAACTGAGCTACTACTGTTTAATGGAGTTGTATTATTCAATAAGTCAATCATTGAAGTCATGTGATTGGAGGCTCCACTGTCTACAATCCAGTCTTCCTGATTCAAAAAAATCATGAGACATGTGATATTACCTGACTCAAGATTTGCTGCATTAGCTGTGATCTCTGTAGGCTTGCTATTTTGAAGTTGCAAAATCTGCTGGTACTATTCTGGAGTGAAGGTTTGTGCAGTAGGAGTTGGCATGCATCCTGCAGGTGCAGTTTGTTCAACTGCTATGTTAGCTGCTATTTGTGTGTTGTACTTCTTCCTAAACTTGTTATCATTTGGATACCGCACTATTTTGTAACAAACTTCTTTAGTATGTCCCTTCATTTTGCAAAAATCACAGAAGAGGTTGTAATTCTTCCTTATTTTCTGTTGATTTCTAGCCCTATTAGCCATCAATGATATCATTTCAGCATTATCCATGTTAGCAGAAACACTTGCCATAGTCTTTGGCTTTCACGTTCCATTAGCATAGAATATGCCTTGTTCACTGATGGCACTGGAACCATCATCAAGAGTTGACTACGAGCTTGTTCGTAAGACTCAATAAGTCCCATCAGAAATTGTAAAAGCTTTTGACGCTCCATAAACTGAACAAAGTCACGAGAATTTGCAACATCACGACCAGGAATTGGTGCCAAACTGTCAAACTCTGCCCAAAGTACTCTTAATTTTGAGAAATAAGTAGAAATTGAGCTAGTGCCTTGCCTAGGTGTAGCAATTTCTCTATGGATCTGAAAAATCCTAGAACAATCAACTTTGTCAAAACGCTCCTTCAAATCATCCCAAACTTCACTAGCATTCGAGAAATACACCAATCCACTCAACAATTCTGGTGAAACACAGTTCATCAACCAGGATAAAATAATTGCATTACATCGTTCCCAGAGATCAATGAGATTCGTACCGTAATTCTCCTTTTTGCATGTCCCGTCGATGAAACCCAGTTTGTTTCGACCTAGAATTGCAATTCGCATTGCCCGACTCCACACAGAGTAGTTTTCTGGTCCTCTTAGTTGCAATGAAGTCAAAACAGCTCCTGAATTATCCTTGGAATTCAGGAAGAGTGGATGATTATGACCTAACTTCTCTGGTTCAGTATTATCGAATCCTTCAAGTGAGCTTTGTGAAATCTAAATTGAGGATGAAATTAAGACCACACTAATGGCCGTGTGGCTCTGATACCATGAAGAAATCAGCTAACCATGGAGACTTGCCGTGGATAAGAAGCTATAGATCTAGACTTTAGAGATAAGAAAAGTGGTTCGATATTTCAGAGGAAGAAAAAGCTGTATTGATTCATTCATTCTCAGTATCTGTACATGCAAGTATATAAAATCAACTCTAATCCTTAACTAGAGTTAAAACTAAAACTAACTTGAGTTACACTAACTCTACTCTAAGGTAAGTTAATTACAACTAATGAAGCTTAACCACCACAATCATTACTAATCTCAACAAGTCACAATCTAATCTTAAAATACTCAGAGCTCTTCTAGAAAATCAACTATATATATTAGAACTAGCCATATATTATACTCCATCCATTTACTTTTACTTGTTCACTATACTAAAAATATATTTTCACTTTTACTTATCCACTATACTAAATCAAGAGAAAGACAATTATTTTTCATGTTTTACCCTTATCATTAACTACTCATTCCTCAAATCATTTCTCAAGATTTTTGTGGAAATGCTATTATTATTATTATTATTATGGGTAAAATTGTAAACTATTATTTTATTTATTATTTTTAAGGGGCATGAAAAGTCCAACATGGACAACGAAAAGTGAACTAAAGGAATACATCAGAATCTCTTATAAAAAGGGTGTACTTCAGCCGGGCCCAAAACATTAAAATCGAAAACCTTAAATGCAAAGATCATGCACTACTTTTTGCATGAAGTGTCCTATTCCGCAAAACTGAAACAGTTTTCTCCTAATTAGGACATGAGTAACAGCTAACCAGCAGCTTAACAAATTATGGAACCAGAGAACTTAATTAGCTTGTCTAAAGAGACTATTGAGGTCAATGTGGTATACATGTAAGCATGTAGAAAAGGTAAGATAACAAGCATCTCACTTGTCATGATTTTAATTTGTTAATACATAATGCTTCTTGCCCTCTTTGGTGTTGGGGAGGTTTTGCAGTTTGCTGCAATTGTATTTTAGTTATATCACTTGTTTCAAAGAAATCCATAAAAATTAACATAAGAAATTGTTGGACTTTAAGCCATTGGGCTTTAAAAGAGAAGAAGTATGAATTGGAAATGGAGGGAAATAAAATGGAGGGAAAATAAAAATTTGAAGAAGTGAACTTTTGTCTTGCACTTTGTCCCTCATTGGTGAGGGACAATCACATTTATGTGCTTATATATAGATTCACTTCTTAAAGCTCTTAAAAGGAGTTGAAGAGAATGAACNNGATTTTTGTTTCAACTCAGTATCGTTCACAGAAATTGTTCGTAAATAAACACAGAGATATTGAGACCGAAAAGCCAGGCGGCTACTCCTTTGCTCATGTTTGTCTTTTCATTTAGAATTTGTATACTATTTGCTCATGTTTCAAGAATCATGATGTGGAGTCTAGCTGGATTCTGATCTTGCTCCTTTTATATCTACTCTACCTATTGGCTTAACCCAAACCAAGTCCGACTGAGAATTACTTCTTGTGCGATACCACTTTTGCCCAAAACCAAGTCACTTCAACAGTACCCTTTAAAAGATTATTATTTAAACTTCTATTCCCTACATTGTATCCTATATATCTAAAAATTTACTTTATCATTGTCGTAATCATAGTATTTTATTACTGGCTGATCAAATCATTCGATAAGAATTCTCTCTCCTTTTGTTTTATTTCTATTTCTCTCATTATTTATTATTCTTATTATTATTATTATTATTATTATTATTATTATTATTATTATTATGATAAATCGATTGTTAGTGCCCAAAATAAAGGTTCCCGTTTCACCTGTTCCCTTAATGACTTCAAGAGGAGATGATAGTGGAAAAACACAGTCAAAACTTTTTATAATAGTTTTGTTTGTTCATTATACATCTATAATAATATTTAATATTTCTATCTTACTTATGTGTTCTAGTTAAAAAAAAAAAATGAAACTCTCTGTTCAATTTGTTTATGTTATAAAATATAGTAATAAAATTATTTAATTTAAAATTTTCAAATGATATTTATTTGCACTAGTTAAAATGTAAAAAAGCTACTACAATATTCATTGGCGGAGCCACCTTATAGGAAGGGGTATAAGGGGTGTCATTCGCGAAAAAAAAAATACACTATGTAGATAGGTAAAAAAAAATTATATGTACATATACTATGTATTGACTCCCCTTAATTTCTTGGTATGTTTACTTTTATATATTTTGATAAACCGTTACGAAAATTCTGGCACCGCCACTTACCATATTGACGAGGTGGAATGTGTGGAAAATGATGCAACACAAAAAGTATCCTATTTTATCTTTTAATTTCTCATATTTCAAGTTAACAAGAGTTTTTGGCATTCTTGATTCCTCGTTGAAACTTATAAAATTTATTAATGTTATGTCTCCAATAAAATATAAATAATATATTAATTCTGATTATTGCAAAATAATAAATGTATAGACGTTTGTGAAGAATTTACAGAAACTGAAGGGCTGTAACAAAGATGCAACGTATTGTCTATTTCACTGCCTCTATTCTCCAACTTTGTCTCTATTTATACACATAACTAATCTGTTGAATTATACTCAATTACTAACTCTATAACTATAAAACGTCTACCTTCTACACAGATTAGGACTTCAACTCCACGTTTCCAAACTCCTTCATGGACATGGAATTGGATTCCTTTCTCAACTCACTTTCAGTTTGATCAGTAAGACTACTATAGAGAGGTCATATACCTTTATAATAATGGAT